CAGCTTCTGACAAAGAAACTGTGTTTGCTTTATTTATATAGAAAAACATCAAAGAGATTCTATGGAAAGTTCTTCAACAAAACAGGTTAGAGGTGGGGGCAGGTAGGATGCTCAGTTCCTAACCGTTACACCCATCTCCTGTGCTGCTGCGTGGGACCTTTCTAGCAGAGTGGAGGGAAAAGTCACGTACATCAGGGGTCTGTCTAAGTGGGAGTGCCACGGGAAGTTCCCAACGCCAGATCTATCCCTTCATTGGCTGCAATGTTCAGAAAAGTCCTCACACACTTCTCGGATGGCTTCTGGCAGGAGCAGCTACCCTTTGATTCAGAAAGTCTACTTCCAGATATATGCTTTATAGCATTATTTTTCCATTAGTGAGTAATGAAATCAATTTAGTGGGTCATGTCCAGTATTTTACAAAAATGAAATGGAACAGAATGCAATACAGTAGGAAATAGAGTGCATATAGTAAGGGCAAGTATTATTTTATCAAACTTTTATTTCATAAATGAACTAAGTCTTACTATAAAATATATTTCTTGATATGAGTGGTATTTAAAAAAAACAACTCTGAAAATACTTCCAATGAGAAACTATCATACAATAACACAAACTGACATGTTCAAGAATGTTCCCTGAAATTTAGTGCTTGTAATAAGAAACATTTTAAACAGTGTAAATGTCCATCAGTAGCAGATAGATAAACAAATCACAGTGTGTTCATGGGATAGAATACCACATGCCAGCTACATCAATGAATTTGATCAATACAGATAAATTTTGAAAATAAAGTTGAGAGAAACAAAACAAGATATAAAAAAATAAGTGCCACATGAAACCAATTGCATGAATTTTTAAAACAAACAAAAAAACCTTAGAGCTGGATAGGATGGTCCATACTTGTAATTCCAGCTACTTGAAAGGCTGAGGCAAGAGAATCACAAGGTCAAGACCAGCCTCAGCAACTTAGCAAGACCCTGCTTCAAAATAAAAAACAAAAAGGATGGAGATATACCTCAGTGGTAGAGCAGATTCAGTCCCTAGTACTGGGAAAAGAAAAAGAAAAGTGGGCTTGAAATGTAATTTAGTAGTAGAGCATCCCGGGTTCTATTGCCATTATGGAGGGGTGTTGCGAGCCATCCATGGGCTGTGTGTGTGAGTTCTGCGCATTTGAGCATATGAGGGGACTGCTTTGGTGTTGTGCACTGATTGGGCTGTGCAATGAAAGTGTGCCTTTCCTCTCGCTCTGCTTGTGATCCCACACAGCAACTGAGATGGGTGTGACTTGCCAAGATGTCAATCAATCTGTTGACCACAAGACATCACCAAGCACGACTTCACCTTTTGAAACCCTATCCCTTGCCTTATTTGGGGGGAATATTCTAGTGAATGTCTTTTCCCCAATAAATAGGGGAGTTCCCAATGCGCTCTCTTACTTTTTCCAGCACAGCTGGCTGTGGAGCTGACCCTTGGGGTCGCAGAGCAGTCCCACCCTTGAAACTGATGTTCATGTGTTGCGTGCTTTCTTTGCCGTTTTCTTAGTTTATTGTTGCAGCCAGCTCCTTTGAACCCAGCTCATCAGCCCAGCCAACCAGCAACAGATGGGGGTGGGAAGAAGGGACACCACACAAATAAAAGTGACATGAGAGAAAAGAGATGTCTAAAATGAAGAATAAAGGAAAGAAAATGGGGGTTAGGAGTAGAAAATAAGTATGATAGTATTTATTCAGTTGGGGTAATACATACATAGATGAATGCTAGAGTGTTATTTGCTCTTTCCTGTCTAAACAACAACAAAAACCAAGAATGCAATTAAGTTTTAATCCTGCTCAGAAGTCTGAAAGAGTATCATAATTGTGGGGAGCCACTTTGAATAATTCGAGTCTTCTGTCTTGGAGCCGAGAGGCGTTGATGGTCACTACATCTCATAGTTACTAAGACATTGCCCTGGTCCCAGAAGTTTGAGGCCGCGTCTTCAGACATAGGCAGTACCCTACAGCCCTTGGGTTGAATTACACCCACATGTCCCTTGTAACTCCTCCCCTTTTTATCTTTTTAGGATGGAACTTTCTAAGAATGAGGGTCCTCCCAATAAAAGCCCACTTCCACAGTGTTTCCTCCCTCCCTCCCCCCCACCCTCTCTCTCTCCAGCCTCTCCTGACTATCCCTGGCTCTCCCATTTGGGGAGCTTGAGGCCGAAAACGGAGGAGCCTTCTGAAGCTTGTTTAAGGTAAAGTATGTGTCTGTGCCTTATGTGGTGTCCCTGGAGTTCAGCTGCCCCCGTGGGCCAGGGGTGGCACAACTGTGCTAACCATTGTTATTAAAACCCTTTTGTCCTGGGATTTGTTAGTGGTGGTGGTGATTTTTGTTTTTTGTTTGTTTGTTTGTTTGTTTTAATGTCCCTGTGCCTTGGGAAGAGCAGCCCAGCCCAAACCAGCCTGTTAAATTCAATGAATGAGTATCTAAAAGGGGCAATTCATTGCAGTTATTATCTCTGATAGAAAAAGAGACTCATGTTTTCCTAAAGTTTCATTCTTCTGTGTCTTTGTACATGTTTGCATTGTCTGCCAGGCAATTTCTAATCTTCCAAAGAAAACTGCTCTTTACCTGGAAGCTCCATCACCACCAAGTAGAATTTATTGATTTGTTATTCCTTTCTTTAACTATACTTTGGTCATCTTCCAATTACAGCACTTATTACACTATGGCAGGATTTTTTTTTTTTTTTTTTTGTACCAGGGATTGAACTCAGGGGCACTTAACCACTGAGCCACATCCCCAGCTCTTTTTTTATTTTATTTAGAGACAGGATCTCAATGAGTTGCTCAGTGCCTTGCTTTTGCTGAGGCTGGCTTTGAACTCTCGATCCTCCTGCCCCAGCCTCCCCAGCCTCTGGGATTACAGGCTGTGCCACCATGCCCTGCTCTGTATGGGTATTCTTTGAGTATGTCCCCCAAAGTTTCATGTGTTGGAAACCTGGTCCCCAGTGTGACAATGTACAATAAAGATGGGACTTTAGGAGGTGGGGCCTCAGTGGTAGAGCCTTGCCCAGCATGCATGAAGCCCTGAGTTCAACCCCCAGTACCACTAAATTAATAAACAGGTGGGGTCCAGTGGCAATTGGTTGGGTCACTGGAGACATTGCCCTTGGAGTTAATTAAGGCAGTTTTCTTGAGACCCTGAGTTAGTTTTCGTGAGAGCAGGTAGTGACAAGAATCTGACCCCCAAATTGCTCTCTCTGGCTCCATGCTCCCATATCTGTTGTCTCACTCTTGCACACATTGCCACCATGATGCCATCTACCAGTGACACAGCCAAGGGGGCCCACATCAGAACCAAATCAAGGCAGGGACCATATCCTTGAACCTCCAGAATTATGAAATAAATAAACATTTTTGTAAAAGAAAACAGACTTTATAGTAACAGAAACACAGACTAATACACTGCATAAGAACATTTCCTATAGAAATCCAGATTTGTAAATCATAAATTACAAAATGATGAAATGTTCTTAATTTTTTCAAACTTATCCTAGACTTACTCTTTATGAATCAACCTCCTCTATTGGTTTTAATATGATTCAGTTTATCATCAAGTTTTCTGATTATTGGAGCTGTATGACCTTGTAGTGGCACACCCTCCTCCACAGAAAATCTTAACTAAGTTTCTCCAGAAATCTTCACCATAATTGATTTTAGGACTATCACCAAAGGGTCTCTAAAAAACAGTTCAATGTAGGTAAACTTCGTATTTTCCTGTTGCTGTATTTTACTTGGCCACTGGCCTGGAAGAAATCAGCACTCCAGGTGCTGAATGCACATTTACTAGTTTTTCACAAACATTTATCCAGTATAGTAGTTTGTAGAAGTGTGTTTGCAAATGCAAAATGTGATTAAAAAAAAAAAAAAGACAGATCCTTTACTGGCCTTGAGCTGGGCTTCACAGAGATGTCTACATTTCTAAGATAAGAGAAGTTACCAATTGGGCTCCATGGGAACAGCTGGCAGGGGGAGGAAAGAAAGGGGAGAAGAAGCTCTCCCCTTCTCAGATATTGTCCTTGAAGAGTTAACTTGCCCAGAACAATGAAAGAAAAAAGCTGCTTTTATGTGAACTTATCCATACTGTGAACTTCTGAGCCCCTCCCCTTACATGCTGGGTATAAAGTTCTAAAACTACACAAACTCAGGGTTCAAGGGATTAAGTGATCACAGCAAAAGCTGTATCCTCTGAACCTGGCTGTAGCCAAATAAAACTGTTTCCTGCTATCTTCGGTGCCTTGCCTGGTGTGTCCCCTACAACAACATCACGGTAATACTTGTAAACTCAACTCTGTAACAAAGTTAAAGAGTGGAGAAATTCCCAGAGTACTTAACCTCAGTTTAACCTACTTCCTCTTCTTTTTATGAGTAGTGAAACAGGATACTCCTATTTTTTCCTATTTTTTATCTTTGTTTCTCCAACATTGTGGTCATAAAAATTCTGAGAAATGGAGTTTCCCAGGGAAGGAGGAAATATAACAAATTGGTTCATTTATTATCTCTATTAAGAAAACCAAAAAGTAGAGACTTTAGTTTTCCAGGTGAGAATTTATAACTGATGTTATTTCCATTTTAATTTTAAGATCTGAAGGACACTAACCTAAGCTGCAGTGTCGCTGCTGTTTTCTGAAGTCTCAAGAGCCCCTGAAGTAGAAATGAGGGAATTTTAGAGTATCATTTTAGAAAACTCCCTGCCACTTAGAAGGTCACACCATCATAAATGAAGCCAGGCGATATCTGAATGAAAGGGAGAAAAAAGTTTCTCCTTAAAAAGTAATAAAAGACTAGGGATATAGTTCAGTTGGTAGAGTACCTGCCTCACATGCACAAGGCCCTCGGTTCAATCCCCAGCAACACACATACACACACACACACACACACACACACACACAAGGCAATAAGTTTTAAAATAACACAAAGAAGTCAGACATTTTACTTTAATGATGAAAGAAGAAGGTGAAGTTCAAAGTCATACAGGGTTACAGACTCAGCACCTTGGAAGTCTATTGCCAACTAGCCAGACTGGCGACCTATGCTGGGTTCACAAAATATGACTACATCAATAACTGAGAAAATGGTGAAGAAAGCACGTAAGCGCACAGAAATACATTTTCAAAATCTGGGATAGCTCTCGACCTCAGGGGTCCATTGGAAAGAGAGAGACCCTTTTTATTGAGAAAGATACTCGAGAAAGTTCCACCCAAATGAGGCAAGGGATTGGGTTTCAAGGGAGTGTAACCCAGTCTCATTGGGTGACACCCACTCCCAGAGCTTCATTCCCCTGCCAAGTGGAGGTGAGATCCACTTGCTTCCGCACACAGGGGAAACCAGTCTCACGCCTTCATCGCTCAAGGCTAAGGGTCCTTGCTCACTCCTATGTGGCAGCTCCCAATGGAAGTCATAAGGAAATGATGAGTGATATGCTGGGGTGTATGCCACCCTGGAGTATATGGCATTGAAGAAAGATAGATAGCTGCCATTCAGTTCCAGCCAAGTGTACTTCCATGCAGGAGTGTGGGTCCAGTGTGACATATCTTCTGATCTTCAGTCAGATAATTATGTGTTATAGTATGGATCTGGAATATCACCTGAAGGCAACATGTTGAAGATTTGGTCCCCAGCTGTTAGCACTATTGGGAGATAGTGAAAAATTTAGAAAGCAGGGTCTAGTTCGAGGAAGTGACTTACTGGGGCATGCCCATGAAGGGTGTATCTTATCTTTGTCCCCTACCCCGCTTCCTGGCCTCCACGAAGTGAGGCCTTTCTATCATGATGTTTCTGCTTTGCCTCAGGCCCAAAGCTATGGTACCAGCGCACCATAAACTGAAATTTCTGACTCCAAGGGCCAAATATATTTTTCTTCCTTTAAGCTGTTTCCTCAAATAGTTTGTCACAGTGACGAAAAGCTGACTAACATTATAATAAAACTTTTATTCTTTTTTTTTTTCTTTTTTCCCTTAGATGGGGATTAAACATAGGGCCTGCACATGCTAGCCAAGTACTCTACCACTGAACTATGAATGAAGCCCAAATCTTTTAGTTCTTTAAACTTATTCATTATGGTGTGTGTGCATGTGTGTGTGCGTGTGTGTGTGTACACACGGATGCACATTCGAGTGTGTAGAGGAGGGTTGAACCCAGGGCCTCACACATTTTACTTTAATGATGAAAGAAGAAGGTGAAGTTCAAAGTCACACAGGATTTACAGACTCAACACCTTGGAGCTTTAGCCTTTTTTATTTATTTATTTTCATTTTGAGACAGGGTCTCACTAAGTTGTCCAAAAAGACTTCCAACTTGTAATCCTCCTGCCTTAACCTCCTGAGTAGCTGGGATTGTATGCATGCATCACTATGCCCAGTTCATTAAAAAAGTTTTAAGTAAAAAAATTCCTGGTCGGAAACAGGTATTAAAAAAAAACAAACAATTATGACCTACATGCAAGCAGGAAGTTCATGATAATGTGAACTAATCTTTAAGTCCCAGTCAAGTAGTAATCTGATACTACTTGGTATAAAAATCTTAAAATGAAATGCATAGCATTCCCTAGGACATTAAAAATGTTAAATACTAGTTACTCTTAGAAATAGACTTTGGACCTAGAAATGGTATTTAGAGTATTACTGGGAAAAGTGGAAAGAAAAGACATTGTGGAACTCTACAAACATCAGAAAGAAGATCAATACCTCCATTATCCATGTTAGAACTTAACACAGTTAAACGTTATTAATTTCTTCTTTTTCTACCATACAGTCAAATGCAAAATAAAATGAATTACATTGTGGCATTTAAAAAGCAATCATTGGGGAGCTAGGGATACATCTCAATTGGTAGAGTGCTTGCCTCTCATGCACAAGGCCCTGGGTTCGATCCCCAGCACCACAAAAAAAAAAAAAAAGCAATCAGTGATTAAAAGGATGGTTTTTTAGAACTTGTGGCTATATATTAAGCTTATTGGCCAATACCACCACATCTGTTTCATAAATTTAAAAATTTCAGGAAAAGCAACAACAGAGACAATGGCAACTATGAAAGAGGCCAATATCCAGGGTTAAATATGATTACTAAGTAGGAGAGATGTTTTCCTTGGAAATGATGTGCTCATATCAGTAGGTACTGAGGAGGTAATTTGATCAATTGCAATCAAAGTGAAACTTGACTGGCATAGCAAAATATCACTTTAAAAGATTCAGTTTGGCCAGTTCAGTGTGAAAATGAGCATTACTTCTTTTCCTTTCTCACTTGATTCAGACAACACAAACATCTAATTTACCTATATTTTCTAAAAAAAAAAAAAAAAAAAAAAAAAGAACTATCAGTTTTATATAACTTTAAAATTTTACCCAAACTGATATGCTCAGGTTTATATAAATATAGATAGTATATATATATATATAATTTTGATTTGGAATATCCCTTAAAATCTTGTGTGTTGAAAGGCTGGTCCCCAGTGCAGCCATGTTAAGAGTCAGGACTTTTAGAAGTGATTAGATCATGAGGACTCTGACCTCATCAGTGGATTAATCCATTGAAGGATTCATAATTTGAGTTGACTACTGGGAAGAGGTGAAAATGAAATGGGACTTAGTTGAAGGGAGAGGGACCTTGAGGTCCTATAACTTGTCCCTGGCCCCCCTTCCTGCTATAAAGTGGGCAGCTTTGTTCCATCACACCCTTCTATAGTGATACATTGTTTCACCATGACCCAGAAACAATGGAACCAGTTGATAATAAAATGAAACCTTTGAAACTGTGAGCCAAAATAAATCTTTCCTCTTTTAAGTTGATTTTCGCAGGTACTTTGTCATAACAGTGAAAAGCTAACACACACACACACACACACACACACACAGAGACATGTGTATGTAGACATATATATATATACTTGAAATCCCAGAAATCAAGACACAACCCATAAGGATGTGTGGCCATCACAGACCAATCATATAACTCTGGTTTTAAAGTGTGTGGGTCTCTCACCTTGTAATTGTTGGCTTTTAACCCTATTCCTATGAGGAAATCTCTACCTTTGTTCAAATAAACAAAAATTACCTTCAAATTAAAAAAGATATATTAAGACACTTGGCACAATAGAGCTTAGAGAAAGTGGTTCTTAGGCTGTTAGTCTTCTCGACACAAGCCAGTCAGTATCCACGGTGTTCAGAAGGTAGAGTTCAGGCCAAGCTGTCAATCCCAGGTGGTACTAAGGACAAAAGGGTAGGAAGAGAGTTAGACTGATTTTCAAGTAGTTAAATATTGACATGGACATATAAGTACCTATAGTCAGCATATTCATATAGGCCATTTTCCAGTACTGTTATGTTTTTCTTTCAGAAAAGAAAGGGCTTATGAATTCAGGAGTGTTTTTTTTTTTTTTTTTTTTTTTTTTAAGAGAGAGAGAATTTTTAAAATATTTATTTTTTTTTTCAGTTCTTGGTGGACACAACATCTTTGTTTGTATGTAGTGCTGAAGATCGAACCCGGGCCGTACGCATGCCAGGCGAGCACGATACTGCTTGAGCCACATCCCCAGCCCTCAGGAGTGGTTTTTGATGTTTAAAATAATAATACCTAGGGCTGGGGTTGTGGCTCAGTGGCAGAATGCTTGCCTAGCATGCATGAGGCACTGGGTTCAATCCTCAGCACCACATAAAAATAAACAAATAAAATAAAGGCATTCTGTTCATCCTACAACTATAAAAAAATAATAATAGCTATCTGGACACAGTGGTGCACGCATGTAATTCCAGATACTCAGGAGGCTGCTGAGGTAGGAAAATTACAAATGGCCAGCCTGGGCAATTTAGTGAGACCCTATCTCAAAATTAAAAAAAAAAAAGCAGGGGGCTGAGAATATAGCTCAGTAGAATAGTGCCCCTGGATTTAATCTGCAGTACCATAGAAAATAATAAATGAGTTGGGCTTCGTAGCACACACCTGTAATTCCAGTGGCTCAGGAGGTTGAGGCAGGAAGATCTTAAGTTCAAGTCCAGCCTCAGCAATTTAGTGAGGCCCTAAACAACTTATCAAGACCTTGTCTCAAAATATAAAATCAGCCAGGCATGGTGGCACACGCCTGTAATCTCAGAAGCTTGGGAGTCTGAGGCAGGAGGATTGTGAATTCAAAGCCAGCTTCAGCAATTTAGCAAGCCACTAAGCAACTCAGCAAGACCCTGTCTCTATATATATATATATATATATATATATATATATATATATATATATAAAAGGGCTAGGGATGTTGCTCAGTGGTTAAGCACCCCCGGGTTCAATCCCCAATACCAAAAATAAATAAATTAATTAAATAAAAATCCAAAGGGTTGGGGATACAGCTCAGTTGTAAAGTGCCCCTGGATTCAGTTCCCAGTTCCAAATGATGATGATGATAATGATGATAGGAGCTGAAATAATTAAATATTGAGAGAGGGCCGTTTGCCCTCAATAAAATTAGCACTCTGTCCTTGTGGCACACTGCCTCAGGATAAAAATTCAGACCAGGATGAGAGCAAATATATACTTAGTGTTTTGTACTTCTGTACTGTGTGTATTGGAAATCAGATTTCAAACGGTCTAACTCCTAAGCCCTGTAATCTTGGCCCCGTTATCCCTTGGCACTCAAGCAGAAAAAGGAGTTTTATTAAAAAGACAAAAAGCTGGGACTGGGTTTGTGGCTCAGTGGTAGAGCACTTGCCTAGCATGCATGAGGCACTGGGTTAATAAACAACAACAAAAAAGCTTCCTTAAAAAAAAAAAAGACAAAAAAATGTGCTGACAGAGGGAGATGATGATCCTGGTTTAGTCAACCTTTCATCACTGTCACAAAATACCTTAGAAAATCAACTTAGAGGAGAAAAAAAATTTTAAGGAGAAGAAATTTCCTTTGCCTCACATTTTCAGAGGTTTCAGTCCATAGTCAGCTATATTGCTTTTAGGTCTGTGGCAAAGCAGAAACATCGGGGAGGAAGGGAATGGCAGAGGAAAGTGGCTGGACTCATGGCAGCCAAGAAGCAGAGAAGGGGCCAGGGACAAGATAGAGTCTCCATAGGCATGCCTTGGGGACTTACCTCCTTCAATAGACCCCACTTCCTAGAGTATCCACCATCTCCCAATAGCGCAATCACCTGTGAATCCGTCAGTGGACTAATTCATTGATGAGGTTACAGCCTTCATGATTCAACCACTTCCCAAAAGCCACACTGCAGAACACTGCTGCACTGGGAACCAAATCTCCAACACGTGATCCTTTGGGGGACATTCCAGATCCAAACTGTAATGTTTGCCAAGCTGAATCAGAACCACCTCAGCTGATTTTAAAACATATTCCCACACCCCCACTCCTAGAAAACCGAATCTGAGTAATTTGTGTTCAAATCTATAAAGTTCTATTTCTCTTTACTCTTTTTCTCTCCTGAATATTGCTTGGGATAGTCACTGAGTTCATTTTACTCTTCTATTATTACTCAGGGGTTTAGGAACATCACGGCCCCTTAGCACCAACAGTCTGTAAGTTAATGCAGAATGTAGACTATAAAACTGCGGAGACTCACCCAGCATCAACAAAGGAGTCCTAAGTATAAATGAAGGGAGATGAAGAAAAACACAACTTTTAGAGATAATTTCACTAAAAATTGGGGCCACATGACAAAATTGCACTCTGTTGGAGTAGCAGTGATCCAAAACTAGATCAGCAAGTTTGTTATATAGGGTCTCATAATCAGGAAGTTAAACTATAGGGACATTGTAAATTGTTCAAGGCTTGTTAAGTATCCATACATTAATTTATAAAAAGAAGTTATACCTAACATGGTGTAATGGAAGAGGCATTGGAATTTTCCAGCCCCAAATCCTAAAACCTGATTCAACTCATTTGTAAAATGGGAATCATTTCTACATTTGGAAATATTAAGTACACTGACTATCTCATGAAGGTATACACACACACACACACACACCAGGGATTGAACCCTGGGTCACTTAACCACTGAGCCACATCCCCAGATCTTTAAAAAAAAAAAATTATTTTGAGACAGCATCTCACTAAGTCCCTAGGGCCTTGCTAATTTGCTAAGGTTGTTTTTGAACTTGTGATCCTCCTGCCTCAGCCTCCTGAGTCACTGGGATTAAAGGCATGCACCACCATGCCCAGTCAATAGATATATTTTTAACACACTATCAGTTACTCTGTCTTACCTCACGGGTGTGTTGTGATAACTATGTGAAGATAACATACACCAGATGGTGCCCAGCACTGAAGCATTCCCAGTTAGTGGGCTAGATATGCGTCAACACTGGCTTTAAAGAAGGGAAACAGCTCTTTGGGCCAGTTTGCTTTTTCACTTTAAGGTCTGACTTGCAGACTTTAATAACTAATTGCAACTGTCAGACACACTGACATTCAATGAACCCTTTCCCCAGTGAGCAAAGATGGTGGATGCCCTCAGTATGTCATAAACAATGATGAGGCCCATAGCATGAATCACTTAGATGACTTAGAAGATTGAATTTCTTCACTGGAGTAGTTGGCTATGTGGTTCTGAGATATTGAGAAATAGAGCCAGTGGGCACAGGAATATGTTAAAATACCTTTGGGGAAGACAGGTGATATCATATTAAGAATATTACTATTCTTAAATATTGTTAGGGCAGGATCATGGAGGAGCTGACCATATTTTTTAATATTTATTTTTAGTTGTAAGTGAACACAATATCTTTATTTTATTTTTATGTGGTGCTGAGGATTGAACCCAGTGCCTCATGCGTAGTAGGCAAACCCTCTATCACTGAACCACAACCCCAGCCCAAGAGCTGACAATTTTAACACTGCCAAAAACATCTAAATTTTTAAAAATTTAGCAGAGGCCAAACAAGTCAACCAGTTGGCAACTTCTGAGTTAAAACATATTCCAGCACTATTTAGACTATTAAGTAAATGCATTAATGTGTTGGTTTACAGGGTATTGCTAGACAACAAAGTTTGGTATCTTAATCCAGCATGAAGGGTACATTATATATTATACTAGATGGAAATGAACATGTGGGCTCTGGCATTAAGCCACTCAAGTTGAAGGACTAGCACATAATAATGAGTTCACCACCTTTTCACTCATAAGCTAGGGTCCCAGGAAAGGCTGACATCATTAGAATACATTGATCTTACCAATGAAGGAGCAAAAGCCAAAGTTAGAGGAAATTTTTCAAATGAGACTCTTCAGAATGTTTTGTATCCTATTTTAGTTGTGAAACTAAACCAAAACTAAGAAAAGAAAGCTAAATGAAGAATGCCAACTTTGAAAATTTCTTTAGGATTACTTATAGTATTCAATTCCTGTAAAATAGTCAGGGAGAGCTTGCAACATAAAGGTAAAATGGAATTTTGGTGTTGCTCTTGGGACAAATCAAGGACTATGTGTGGTGAGAGAGCATTAGCTTTAACTATTAAGTTCCTTGTGCTGAGCTTTGTCTTTGTTTTTAAGAATGGGTGCCAGAATTCCCATTGACGTCATGTCTGCCAAAATGCTCATTTATTTTTAAGCTAAGCAATTTTGGTTTTTCTCTTTGAATTCTCACGAAATTTTGTTGGCAGCAAATACTGTATGTAAACGCCTACTTAAAGAAGTGGTGAAACAAGACTACTAATGAGACAAATATTTTGCTTAAAGAAAGGCAAAATAATTTTTTCAAGTTTAAACATGGTAATGATGTGAACTTCAGCTATAGCAAAATTAAGTGGGTAAAAAGAATTAGTGTGTTGGTGTCTGCAACTAACCTCAGCCTTCTAAGGCTACCATTTATGTCTCTGCCTCTTCAAGGAGAAAAGTGTGCCAGATGGTAATGGATATTTCTGTATATCTGTATCAAAGTGGTTGAGACACCGTTAATAAAGTATTTCAAGGTTAAGAATTTTAAAAAATGAAACATACTTGGAAAAGGAAAAAAAATTTAATTGTGAATCAAGTTTGTATATTGTTAAATGCACACTAAAATCTTAGCTTTAACTACTCCAAACACCCCTAACTCCTTAGGACCTCACAGGAGCCAAACTGACTCTTTCCCAGGCCCTGTCCATTTCCAGCATACTGTAGCAGTGTAATTATTTCATGTCACTTTTAAGGACAATGAGAACCAATTTACAAAAGGTACAGTTTTACATCTTTCAACATCTTACACAAACTGCCAAAATGCATGCTGCACATGCTGGCATTGGCAGATTTAAACTTCACAATGTTTGTTGCATCCACAGCACTGGTTCAAGCACACTTTCTCTCTGTGACTAAATGGAATATGGGAGTGTCTGACACTAAAATACTATAATCATAATATTACAAAATGTAATTTAACTGGGAAGAAACATTCAATTATTATAAGTCATAAATATAAAGGTTAAAAGAACAGTAGCAGCTTTTACCTGGACTCCTAATTGTTTGTGTATCTGAGACTGACTGGACCTACCAGATACAGGGCTAAGGCAAATGTTACTACACTGTACTTACAAGGATTGATTGATTGATTGATTTAGGTCAATTTGACTGTAACCTACCACAACCTGAGAAAAGATGAAGATGTCAGTCCCTAATACCTTCAGAGTACCTTTAGAACCAGTTTGGAGAATGATGGTAGTAGGGGGAGAGGGCAGGTATGAAGGGGAACAGTTAGTGGAACGTCATCTGTGATTCTTTACTGCATTACCGCAGGGGCAAAGAAAAATGACAGTCAGTGAAACACAGTTCTTTACCATTAATGCCTCATAAAAGACTGTCTGTGCTTTTGACTATGTGCAAAATGTCAGTAAGAATCTTTTGCAGACTCAGATGAACAGAGAACGTCAATCAACCGGGACTCCAGAAGGAAAGCTCCAAACCTGAGAAGTCCTTCCATGTCATTCCCATTACCGTTCTCACCAGATTATGGCCTCGGAACACTTTTGCTTATTGATCTCCAACAGACAAATGTGATTTGATTTGACAGAATCACACAGCCTTAGGCTCCACAAGTAAAAATGTCAGAAGTGGCTGAAAGAGCAGCAGCTCCATGCTGAAGACACCCATTTCCTCTAACTCCAGAGCTCCGCCATGTGGTCTGTTTTCCCTCTGAGGGAACTGCTGAAGAGAGGTAGCCTGGTGCCACCTTGCTGAGGGAACTTGGAACCACAGTGACAACTACTGACTTGCTGACACAGCATGCTTTGTAATGGTTAGGTCCATATAGCTCCTGAGACTGCTTTGCAAGACATCTTGAACATGCAGCTGAGTGTTGCATCAGAGAAACATTTGGGCAACAGGTGTCTTTCAGGAATAAAGCAGATGGTTCTTCTTTCCCTTCTGAGTCTTCTCTCCCCACCCCCAAAGTCTCATGAGAAAGTCAGTTTATAAATGCTGCTATCTTTTTCTATCACCTCCTTGTTAGAGGAGGAGGGTGACGTTTTTATAACTACATGTATCAAGAGTAAACGTCAGGAAAGTTCTGTGGTAAGAGGTGTTATTAACCTCAGACTCCCACAAAAATCCTGGTAACCTTTCAATCTCTGAGAAAAACCTTCAGACGTGATTAGTAACCACCAGGTACAGGTGGGTTTTGCTGTTTGTTCATTTTTTTACCTTCATTATGCATTCCCACCCCACTTAACTTCTGCTGAGAAACTTAAAGTGGAAGAAAGTTAAAAGAATCCTGAGCCTGACAGAGGCAGAGCTATCTTGATTTTATATTTTATATGGATGAAATCACTAGTTGAGATTTTTATAATTAAAATAATTGAAAGGATATGCATAAAAGTAATTCTCAGTCTGTAAAGATCAAATATCTTCTCTTCTTTTTTTTTTTCTTTCTTTTGGTACTGACAATTGAACCCAAGGGCACTTTACCACTGAGGTACATCTTCAGCCCTTTTTTATTTAGTTGTAGTTGAACACAATACCTTTATTTTATTTATTTTTATATGGTGCTGAGGATCGAACTTGGGGCCTCGCACGTGCTAGGCAAGCACTCTACCACTGAGCCATAACCCCAGCCCTCTTTTTTTATTTTTTATTTTGAGACAGGGTCTCACTAAGTTGCTTTAGGGCCTCACTAAATTGCTAAGTCTGGCCTTGAACTTGCGATCTTCCTCCTTTAGTCTCCCAGTCACTAGCCATTATGCCTGGCTTCCATTATTTTTTGAGAAACAAAACTTGCATACCTGTAGGTACCAAATCTATAGTTTAATTATGACAAATGCACTACGTTTCCTTTTTTTTTTTTTTTTTACAGTACTGGGAATTGAACCCAGGGCCTCATGCATGCTAAGGAAGTGCTCTACCACTGTGCTATTTCCCCAGATCTGCGTTTTCTAATTAAAAAAAAAAAAAAGTCTGGTTAGGAATCATGCACAAAGAATTCTCTCAAAGGATAAAACAAGTTGGCCCTTGGACAGCAACCTAAGACTTTAGTATTGGAATAATAGCATCTAATGTTAGCTTTTCAAAGATCCTTCCTAATCCAATTTTCATGTAGGAAGTCCAGATTTTTAAAAATTCCTCTCTCAAATGTATATGGAACAACATGCCTGTAATCCAAGAAGCGCAGGAGACTGAGGCAGGAGAATCGCGAGTTCAAAGCCATCCTCAGCAACAGCAAGGTGCTAAACAACTCAGTAAGAACCTGTCTCTAAACAAAATACAAAATAGGGCTGGGGATATGACTCAGCAGTTGAGTGCCCCTGAGTTCAATTCCTGGTCCCCCCCCCCCCCCCCCCCCCCCCCGCATACCACCCAGAAATACATACATGGAACAAAGTCTTTCCCAACCAGCAGTTGAGTCCTAAATCCAGTGTGTGCAATAGCATATATCTGTGACTATCTTCACACAGGAAGCCATAAAAACACACTGACTCTCAGGGCTACCGGAAGAAGACAGAGGAGTGATCCTGGGTTTACTTAGTATAGACATCAGTGGCTTCTTCAGTCAGCAGAACTTTGCTTACTGTGTGACCAGTCTAGGAAGGACTTGCCCAGTACAATCAAGTATTGCTAGCCCTGGAAGATGACATAGTCATCACTCTGAAGAGCCCTCTCCTCTACCATGCTGGTCATGTGGCCCTGCTCAGATGAAACCTGCTCCCTTTCTTAAACATCCAGCTTTGCCCATATTCTTCCATGACCCCGTGTTGCCCAAGTCACTCTTCAAACCCTGCGTTGCTTTCACTATATCCTCGAGTCTACCTTTCTCAACAGTGTTGAGGGAAATATAGAAGGGCTTAGGCAGCCAGGGAAAGATGGCGTGTGAGGAGGTTGGGGGCAGGGCCAGAACACAAGAGCATGTAGAGGGTCTTCTGATGAGGTCAACTTCCTGCATGACAAAAGTGGACACAAGTGGAGAACTCAATCAGACAGACACTTCTGTACTCATGCTCCTCAGCAGGGGATCCAATAAAAAAAAAACTAAAACAGACGCATGGAAATAGGAGTCATCAATGAATAATGGTGAGGAGAGCATGGACATGGGAGGAGATAAGGAAAGGAGGAAATTCCAGAGACCATAAAAAGAACAAGCCAAAACTCCCCCACTGGATTCCCAGCTCCGGGGCCTCTTCTCTTTGGAGAAGTCTGTCTGTCCCTTTTGCAATAAACCTGCTGCTTGCTTGCTATCTATGAGTCCTGTTCTTCAATTCTTTGCTGAATGGAGACAAGGAACCCTGCACTCCTAGATGGTAACAGTTTGCCCATGCTCTTCAAAACTGAGTTCTCTGTTCCTACTGCTTTGTTTGTGGCTCATTTCTTTCATGCAATGGGGAGTTACCTGATGACCACTTTTTTCAGTCCTCCCAACTCCCCATCATAAGGAATGGGAAGAATGATGGACAGACTCATATGATGGGCATAGTCCCCTGAGCTGCTCTGTGAATTTCCTATTTTGGAGATAAACGGCAGTGACTCATTCTAGAATCAGCCTTCACCTTGAAAAATGGGACTTCAATAATCTCACTAGTGTCAGGTTGCATGAGGACAACTTGCCCTCTTTACAATTAATTTGCAAGAGGGAAAGGCTCCTTTGACTTTTAAGCAAATTGTAAAAACAATTGCTATCGAGGATGTATTCAGTTACTTGGGTTTCCTAGGCCCTAGGATCAGTGTTATCCTTGTATGATGAAGATTTATTGGGAAGGGAAAGATGAAGGATATTCTAATCCAGGACACATTTTTTCAATACTCTCTAAAGTGATTTTCTCAATCGGATACCTAACCTGCTGCAGATACTGGCATAAGGACTAGGTTAGTGTTCTAGAGATCAACCTGACACTAGATCAGTACATCTCCAGCTTCCATCTTTAACCATCTTTGTAACAGAAATGGCATTAATTATGCTGTTTCAGAGAAATTGGTTTAGAATAGGGAGGTAGATTTGCTGCTGTTGTTGCTATTGCTGTTTTCACTAATACAAGCAATGTTAATGAGGATCTGGATAATTGAGAATATATAATTCTACTTTCCTAAGAAAACTACCATTATCATTTTCACATAATTTACTCTAGATATTAAAATAATTATTTTCATCATCTGGCTACAAATAATTTTGCATTTCCTTTCTATGTTGGTATGGTTTTTATAACCAGGGTTTTAAAAATAATGACTCTAAGAATAATTGATATCACTATTTATTTATTTATATATTATTTATTTATATATATTTATTTATATATATATTTATTTATATATTAATTAATTAATTATTAATTAATATCACTATTTATTTATTTCCTTAGAGAGCTAATAAGTGGTGGTGCTCATCTGGGCTGTGAACCCACCTGTGTCCCACCCTAAAGTTCTAAATCACACTGCACTGTCCCCTTCTCTAACTCCATTATATACCGCTATCCACACTTTATATTTCAACTTTCCTTCAGTTCCTCAAACATACCACGCTTTTGTACATGGAAATCATAGACAAGTCACAAAAATAGAAAAATGTCAGATCTTAGGAGCCAAAGTAAATTGCATGGTTAAAAATATAAATGGCTGATTTGATGATGCCATTTTTTAAAATATTAGTTGTTGATGGGCTTATTTTTAGGTGGTGCTGAGGATCGAACCCAGTGCCTTATATGTGCTAGGCAAACATTCTACCACTAAGCTACAACCCCAGCCCAATAATGCCATTTTAATTGCCTCAATAACCAGGGGGCAGACTGTCATATGCTTTTTGGAATCCATTCATTTTTTTTAATAAATTTTTTTTAGTTGTAAATGGACACAATATCTTTATTTATTTATTTATTTATTTATTTATTTATTTATGTGGTGCTGAGGATCAAATCCACTGCCTCATACAAGCTAGGCAAGTGCTTTACCACTGATCCACCACCTATTCATTTCTGAATGTCAGGTAGCCCACTTCTACCATCCCAGATACCCATGCCCCTGCCTCATCAAGACTGTACTTACCAAGTAGAACACAAACCTCAGATAAGCCACACTGATCACAGCCGCCACGACATACAACACCATGTTCCCTAGTTCCTGGACATAAACCACTACAAAGTACATGTTGATGGAAGATAAGATGAGGACTAAGATCCCACTGGCGATGCTCCAGCCTCTGTGAAAGAATGAGCACAATCACTGGTGGAAAAGTTCAACCTGGCCACGGAGAGAAAAGGAAATAGCATCTTGAGGGGTAAACAGGTCAAGAGTTAGAGGCACTGTAAAAGGAACTGAAAAATGGTTCTTGCTATGTCCTGGATTAGGTTAAATGAGTCCATGATGGAAAATGACAGGGGGAAAGATGGGGAAAAAATTATCATGAAATAATCTCACATCCTTAGAAAAACAAAAAAACCTAGAAATGCAATGAGCCATTCTGTTAGTTTATGAAAATAAGTTATTTCAAATACTTCCAATACCCTTCAAAGGTACTAGTTTATGCCTTTCTCATTAAGATTAATTAAGACAGAATTGAAATGATTAAAACTTCAGTTGCTGAAGCCGAACAGTTAAAACCCTAAAAATTGAAAGAAAACGTTCTTTCTCTTCCATTTCTACATTCATACTCTCCATTGACAGTGCCCAAAAGGAAGCAGCTAGCAATCACCTCTCAAGGCATATACTTCCCCCCCAAAAAATGGCCTGTTAGATAAAAATATCCTTTTTGCACATATCACCCCCCACCTCACCCCCACCCCCGAGAAGAACCAGAATGAGCACGTACATATTCCATTTCCATTGGGAAAGTCCTTCATTATTGGCTGCAAGCTTGTAAATGTGAGGCCAGGTTTGATAGCAAAGGGAAGCTAGAAAGGAAAGAAGTAAGATCAGATGGGGCCACTAGGAGCCCTATCCTACCCCAGAGAACAGAACAGTTTGTGCTAAGGAAACAAACACTGCCTTACCTATTTGATGAGAAATAATTATTCCTAGCATTCCCAAATGCTCAAGCATTATGTTGAAATGTGTGGAGCTATCCTTAATCTAGCATCAAGGATGATCAGGATGATCATCAGTTTTTGTTTCTTTTTGCAATACTGGGGATTGAGCCCAGGGTGTTCTACCACTGAGCTACATCCACAGCTCTAATTTTTTTTTTTTTCAATTTTGAGATAGGGTCTCACTAAATTGTCCAGGTTGGCCTTGAACTTCCAATCCTCCCACCCAGTCTATTGAGTAGTTGGAGTTATAGGCTTGTGCCAGTGTGCTCAGCAGGTTTCTTTGCATGCTTACAAATGTTTGTACTTGACTTGCATTCTTAACTTCCATAGGACCTAGCACAGTATCATACAGTGTTCCTGCTGGATTAAAAAACTACAATTTTGTGTTCTATATGTTGGCATATAGCTTATAATTCCAATTCAACAGGTTAAAAAAACCCAAATCATTCCTAGAAGCTATTTAGATTAAAGGATTTCATATACATTTCTTGCATACTAAGACCCAGGCCTCTTTCTTCCTCTCCATTTCCCCTCCAAACCCAGCACAGTTTTGCTCTCTGACTACATGGGATGAGTTTCCCCAGACCCTGCTCACCTGTAAGCTCTGCAGAACATTCAGGAAGTCATTCATTCCCATTAGATGCTCTACATCTTGGAAGACAGCAACAAGCAGAGTGGGGATGAGAGCAAAAGAGCATGTCACTCAAACAAAATGTGACCATTTTAGGTTCAGGAATCCCTGAAAGACAACACAGGAATGGGATGACAGGCTGGACCTGGAAGAAGAAAAGCGGGCGGGGGGGGGGGGGGGTTCTGGAGAGACTTTAGAAGCACAGGACTAAGGAATATATAAAAAGTATGCCATCTCCCCTGTTCAACAGCAGCACATACCTCCATGACAAACTGACCAGAATAGGTTTCTGTCATGGTGGAGCTCAATCCAGCAGCCAAGATCCCCACTGCCCAGATGCAGAGTGCCCCGAAGTAACATCCCAGCACAATACCCTGGGACAGGCAAGGGAGAAGATATTTCTGTGTCAATCATCTGCTTAGAAAACACCCAAAACACCATTTCTCTGTGACATTTCTCTTTGCCAAGAGTCACCTATACTAGCACTGGCACTGTTCCAGAAGGTAGGCCCAGGTCTTGAACTGATTCTAGAGGTTTTCAATCTCAACATTGCTAGATGTTCCTTCGTTCCTAAGTCCAGTCTGCTCTCTCAAAGCTCTAGGCCTTCACCTGCAATCACCATGTTCTTCTTTTTTCTGTTTTAGTACTAGAGATTAAATCTAGGACCTCACACTTGCTGGGGAAGTGCTCTGCCTCTGAATTATATCCACAGTCCTTTTTAAATAAATTTACTTTGAGATAGAATCTCACTAAGTTGCATAAGCTGGCCTTAAACTTGCTGTCCTCCTACCTCAGCATCCTCAGAAAATAGGATTACAGGATTGCACTATCTTGCCCCAGTTGCAATCCCCATTTTAATACTGAAAAAACAGAAGTCTACACCAAAATTTCTAAATTATATTTCCTAACACACTATTTTGGAAAAAAAAGTAGTAGGAATGTAAAAAAAGGGCTAATAAATATAGGAGATGCTGTATACTACATAATCAGCTCTTGAAGATCAAAATGAAACCAGTATAAAGGGACTGAGAAACCCTAGTAAGCAATACTTTACTGAGAACATTTTCTTTAGTCACCTCAATCAACATCCTGTAAAAGAATGTACTGTCCCTGAGAGTTTGGGAACAGCTGGTGTACAGTCCATCTTTTCAACTGATTCTCTATTCCCTCCCATGTAATCTAAAATGCTTGTCTGGCATTTGGACCTCTGAAATAAATGGCATTCCAGAGGAGATAAACCTGCTCAGAATTGAAGTGAAGTCACAAAGACCAGATAATATGCTGAGAAGATTGAGCCAAGAACAAAGATCATAACCTCCAGAGGCTTGCCCCTTTGTAGATGGGGCAAGAGTTGAGTTATCTTCAGGGAAGAGGCCAGCATGGGGACTGCTACTATTTTTACACACATCAACTTAGAACCCAAAAATGTTTAAGAGCAACTTTTACCTTATATGCCAGGACCAGATGAGAAGAGCTCTCCAACACATCACAAAACAAGTCCTCTCAAGAGGCAGCTAGAGGAAAACCCTAGAGGCTGGTTGTGATGGGGATAGAGGCTGGCAGTACTTTACTTGGGATCCATCAATCTTTCCACACTCCCATGCCATCAAAGTCTTTACTGAGAGCTGATATGGCAGTACACAAATGCTGGGGCATTTTAAGTGAGGACTGCATACTAAGACCTGAGCCTAGTTTTTCCTCTCCATTTCCCCTCAAGACCCAGCACAGGGCTTACCATCTGACTATGTGGGATGAGTTTCTTGAGGAGAGGCCCTCAAGAAGGCTTCAAACATGAGAGGGAAAGGGAGTCCTTAGTCAAAACAGAGTCAGTAGTCAGAGGTCCTACTGGTGGGAAATAAATTGGGATTAAAACCACATAGGTGGGGCTGGGGTTGTGGCTCAGTGGTAGAGCATTTGCCTAGCACATGTAAGGCACTGGGTTGAATCCTCGGCATCACATAAAAATAAACAAATAAAATAAAGGCATTCTGTCCATCTACAACTACAAAAATTAAAAAAAAAATCCACATAGACAATCAAAAATCAGGAGGACACAATTCAAAATGAAGAAACAAAGCCTGAGCTGGTCACACTTTCTGTTTCCTACTTGCTGACTCTTTCCAACCTGTTACTCAAATGGCAAGACTGACCAGCAGGCAGGCAGAAGTTGATAGACAGGAAACAAAAGGGGATGACAAAAAGCTGAAGAGTCTGAAGCCATCTAAATAACAGCTGAGGCCATCCTGAGCCTGAGGACAGCTTCCTTCCCAGACAAAAGTGGGAACGATGGGTCCAATCTTCTTCAGTCACCACACTATAGACTGACTGGTGCACAGTGACTAGCGTTGTGGGGTACAGCATGGGACCAAAGAGCCATTTTTCAGAGTCAATGTTGTATTTCTCCAACCCCATCCCAGTCTGCATTTTACCCTAACACTCACCACTTGCTCGATGGTTTTCCAAAAAAAGTGCTTCATCAGAGACTGAGATGACAAAGACGTTGATGATGAAGGAAACAAAGAGGGCAATGCAGGATTCAGTGAAAAAGTACTTGTTGGGGCTGGGGATGTGGCTCAAGTGGTAGCATGCTCGCCTAGCATGCGTGAGGCACTGGGTTCAATTCTCAGCACCACATAAAAAAAATAAAATGAAGGTATTGTGTCCACCTAAAACTAAAAAAATAAATATTTTTTTAAAAAAGTACTTGTTGGCTTCTCAGACTTCCTGCTTATTGGCCCGGTTTACCTGTCTAGACTAGGGAGATAACAGCCGCATTCATTTATGGAGCACATGGAAATGAGTTTCTTAGGAGTATTTCAGGACTTTGGATATCAGTCCTGAAATGTCAGCGGAGAGATTCAGAGGGCAAACAACTGATTAGATGAAATGAGGGAGACCCAAGACTTACCTATATCCTAGTTCACTAAGCAATTAAGAACTCCATTCCCTTGGAGAGCACTGTGCATTTTCCAAATAGGGACCAGTGACTAAGTACTACTGACTCTCAGATATTGTGGCAGGAAGGAACACCGACCTACAAAAACAAGCTGATTTTGGTCCTAAAGGTATACAACCTGACTTATAAAGGTCTCTGAAATCATCCAGCAAAAGACTGCACAAGACTAACTGATATAGTATCAGGCTTTGAAGATTTAAACACAAGAGGCTTGGTGCACTTTATTTATTTATATTTAAATTTTATTTTATTTATTTATTTTTTAATATTTACTTTTTTAGTATTTTTAGGTGGACACAATATCTTTATTTTACATTTATGTGGTGCTAAGAATCGAACCCAGTGCCTCATGCATGCTAGGTGAGCGCGCTACCACTTGAGCCACATCCCCAGCCCAAATTTTATTTTATTTAAATACTTTATTTTGACTATTTTTTGTGTGGTTCTGAGAATTCATCTCAGGAGTACTCTACCACTAGGTAATATCTTCAGCACTTTTATTATTTTTCTGAAATAGGGTCCTGCTAAGTTGATCCTATTGTGATCCTATTGCCTCAGCCTCCTGAGTCACTAGGATTATAGGCATGTGTCACTGCACCCAGCATCAGCCCTTTTATGAAGAACATTAGCTCTGCTTCTCTGTTAAATCAGTAATATCTGGTCAATTTGGTAATAAAAACAGAGTCCAAGTATGTGGACTTGGAAATATCCAGTCTTGGAAAAGGGCTCTAACAGATATATTGTGTCTCTTGCAATTAAAGGAAAAGACCTCATGAACGGTCCAGAAGGCCACTGAGATAAGACCTTATTTACCTTAACTAAGGTAGAATGCATGTAAATGTTTGGTGATATGATGAGAGCTCCCATGATGCCCACAGTCTGCTCATTCTGTGGGGTGCAACAACCAGAACAGGGTGACAAGAACATGCCCTGGAGTTCCTGACTCTGGCTGGGTTTCACTGTGACATACTACATACCAATATAACAACTATTAGCCTTTACCAAAACATAAGATGGGGTAAGAAGGTAACATAGTACTGGGGACCTGTTGATTTGTATATGTGGTATCCCCCACAAGCTCACATGAGACAATGTAAGAACATTCAGAGGTCAAATGAGTAGTTTATGAGAGCTGTAACCTAATCCACTGATACGGATCAACTGGTTGGAAACTGTAGGCAGGTAGGGTATGTCTGGAGGAAGTGGGTCACTGGGGGCGTTCCTTTGGGGTATGTATTTTATCCTTAGTGAGCAAAGTTCTCACTCTGTTTTCTGATTGCCATGTTCTGAGCCATTTTCTTCTGCCTCACCCTTTAGCCATGATGTTCTGCCTCATCTTGGGCCCAGAGCTATGGAGTTAGAAAACCATAGACTGAACCTCTGAAAACAAAACAAAACAAAAATACTTTAAATAAACAAATAAAAGTAAACAAGGCTTAGAAGAGAATTCAGGAGCCAGGCATGGCGGCTCATTTCTGTAATGCCAGTGCCTTGGGAGGCTGAGGCAGGAGGATCGCAAGTTCAAAGCCAGTCTCAGCAACTTAGTGAGGCCGTAAGCAACTTAACTTAATGAGACCCTGTCTCAAAATAAAATACAAAAATGGCTGTGGATGTGGCTCAGCGATTAAGCACCCCTGAATTCAATCCCTTGTACAAAAAAGAAAAAAAAGAAAAAAGAAAAAGAATTCAACACTAGATTTTCTTTATGTTTTATATCATGTTACAGATGAACAAAACAGTTGTGTAGCTGTGCATAGAACACAATTAATATTTTAAAGAACAAATGCTAATGACCTTATTGTTATTAATTTCAAAGTAAATTCCTGAGAGACAAACCCAAGTATACAGAATCAATTATTAACTCTCCACACTTATCAAGCTTCTGTTCCCCCATGTTTGTCTAAAAATTGGCTGTCTTTGGTACTCGCATATGATGAAAGACTTACTCATAAAAATTTCTCATACATCCTTTTCCCTGATTCAGCATTTTTCTTGGAAACCTTGGACCAAACTGCATAATCAACTCATAGATTAGATACAGTTTTTAAAGTTTAGCCAGGCCAGTAAGCAGAAACCAGTTTATAAAAACTACGCAGAGAAAAGTGCTATTACTGCAAATAGTGATACTGATTTCTAGGAGTGTCTGGTTGGGGCACAAATCAAGAAATAGTCACTGTGTCACCTATAATTCATTAACTCTTTGGATACAAAGAAAATTTAAGCTGAAATTAATATAAACCTGAATGAACAAAAACAGAACTACATTTGGCTAGCACCAAGAATAACCATGCAAACCCCTCCCTAAACCTCTCCAAGGCTATTCTACTGTCAGGATGGCCAACTTGGTACCAGGAATTCTATTCTGTAAAGTCTTTAGAGCATCCAGTTGTTTTGGACTAGGAATCTCTGCAGGCCTTCCTGCACATGGATCTTGGCTATAGATTATATTCCTTCAAAATAAATAGCCCAGGGCTGAACTGGCTTTTTGTTGAAACATACAATACCATTAAATCATCCTAGCATTGTTACTGTCTTTTACAGTGAAAGACTAAACAAAAAACAAAACCTTGTTTCAAAAAACTAATGAACAGGGCTGGAGTTGTAGCTCAGTGGTAGAGCACTT